TTTTTTTTATATGAATTAAAAACATATATCAAAAACTTTTTTTTTTTATTTATTTTTAAATCATAGAGTCCTTTTAATGCTAATCCAAAAATTAAAAATTGTATAGATCACACAGCAGAAAACAGACATTCAAGATTAATAACTTATGAATAAAATCACACCATACAAAGAGGTACAATATTTACGTGATTTGGCATAACTCGCCTACATAGTTTCATGATCACGATATACAAGAGTACACAACACCATAAACCCCGATATATAACCAGTACACTTTCTAATGCACATCTAATAACCTTTACATTAAATGCATTATGTTCTCATATTCTCTCACAATATTGAATTGGTTATTACCTTTATATTTATAGGTAATATAAGACATTATATTTCTAATAGAATCAATATTTTAATTCCTAATAAAACTCCCATAATTATATTTCTATTTACAATTGTATTATTTATTAAATAGTTTTTCCTAAGGACATATTATTTTACATGAGAACATAAAGGAAAGCGAGTCACAATATCCAAATAGTGATAGCTATCATACATTTAAATCACAAACTATTATTTTACAAGATTTATGTCTTTCTTTATTTTACTTGGACAACAAAGAGCACAAACATAAATGAATTAGTGCCTCACATTTTTCAAAGACCAAAATATGAAAATAGAGAATTGAGTATATAAACAAACATACCCAAAATTTTTATTAGATGTTTTTGTTAACATTCCACATCGTTTGGGAATGAGAGGGCTGAACTAGTTAAATATCCTAAGGTTTCTCAACTTGTTAGACGCGTTTTGGGGATAGCCCAAAAGCAAAATCGCGAGGGTTAGGAAGGGCAAGGCCCGAAGGAGAACCCAAAGCGGACAATATTTGACAGTTGGGTTGGTATGCAGATGATCAGAGTAGGCCCAAGAAGGGTATCAATGAGGATGTTGAGCCCAAAGGGAAGGTGATTTTGGGCAAAACCATGAGGCACATGAAGGGCAAGTCCTGAGCAAAAAACTAGAGTAGCCCCAGGAAAGGTGTCAACAAGGATGTTGAGCCGAAAGGGGAGGTGTTTTAGGCCAAACCGTGAGGCCCAAGAAGGGCAAGGCCCGAGCAAAGCTGTGAGATACATGAAGGGCAAGGCCGGAAGGAGGGCCCAAAGCGGACAATATCTAACAGTTGGGCCGGGGTGTTTCCGTTTTATTCGAGTATGTTAAAAATTAAAATTGGGTAAATATATTAAGATAACAAAGTTTTTTTTTTTTTTTTTTTTAAATATCTCAGAAATTTTGATATGTTTTCTTATTTATTTTACAGTGTGTTTGGTTCAGGGAATGTTGTATTATTGAAAATGTTATATTAATAGAAAGATAGATTACCTTGAAAATTACTATAATGTTTAGGAAAATGTGTTTGGTTAGGTTAGAATAAATTGGTGGATATATTATATTGATATGTTTGGTTGGGAGGGTAAATTGATGGGTATGTTATATAGATTACTAAATTGCCCTCCTTTTTAAATATTAATATAATATTATTTTTTGAATCATTTCATTTAACTCCGTACATTTGAAATTTTGCTAAAACACCCAGCTTATATAAAACTTTAACTTGTAACAAAATCGCCCCCACCCATCCCAATCCATTGTTGGCCGGCAGCCACCATTGCCAACCGTCATCGAAAGTGGCTGAAATGGTGCACGACCGACAGAATCTAGCCGGCTATGCTATAATCTGGCCGAAAACAGCTAGATCAATGGTCGTTAATGGCCAGATCTGTGGCCATGGATCTGGCTGTTAATAGCCAGATCTATTCTAGCGTCTACAACCATGGATTTGGCCGTTTTCGGCCAGATCTACGACCATCAATATGGCTGAAAACGGCCAGATTAGTGCACAATCGCCCAGATTCAACTGATTGTGCATCGTTCTGGCGATTGAAGGTGATGGTTGGCCAGCTACCGGCGGTGGTGGCTAGCGGGCGGCAATGGTCTTAGGTGGATTGCAATTTGTTTTCAATATAATGATATTATTGTCCAAAGACTTAATTAATTAGAGGTAAAATTATAATGCAAGGTTCGTGTAAATTAATTTCAAAATAAAGACATTATTGTCCAAAAATTTTATTAATAAAGGGTAAAATGGTAACAAAAATAAGATTACTAAGTAATCTTAAAATACCTAAGGTAGCTTTTGGTTCGAGGTGATATAACATTAATCCTGTAATCTTTGTTTAATTTTCAAGATTCCCTCATTTGGTTGTCAAGTAATAAAATATTACGTAATCTTTTATTGCAGATAGTGTTTACTGTTGGTAATATTTGGGGGTAATCAGATTACCTTCCCAAGGGGTGTTAATATAAGATTACCGAGGTAATCTTAATTTTGACCATATTTTGCCCTTAATCTTTTATTATTTCGGACAAATTTGCCCTCTTATGTCTATCAAATAACAATTACCTAGACCCCATACATTTGAGAATTTAGCTAAAATACCCTTGCCACAAAAAAAATTTAAAAGTTAACAAAATACCCCCAACCATGTAAGACCACCGTCGGCCGCTAGCCACCACCACTGGCCACCAGTGAAAGTCGTCATATCGGCATAAGACCGGCAGGATCTAGTCGGTCATGTGCCAATAAGGACGTTTTTAGCCATGGATTTGTGATCCATGGCCGGAAACAACCTGATCTGGCTGTGAAAAGGTTAGATCTTTGGTCGTGAAATGGTCGTTGTTTCACAGCCAGATCTAGCTGTGAAACGGCCATATCACGGCGACACGGCTAGATCTAGTCGGATTAGTCCTTATCGGCGCACGACTAGCCAGATTCGGCCGATCGTGCGTCATTATGGTGATTGTTGGTGGTGGCTTGGGGTGAGTGGGGGTGATTTTGTAATAAATTAAAGTTGTATATGGTTGGGGTGTTTTAGTAAAATTTCAAACGTAGGGAGGTTAAAAGAAAAAATTTAAAAAATAAATTAATAAAAATAATATTATATTATTATTTAAAAATGAGGGAAATTTAGTAATCTATATAACATATCCACTCATTTATCCTCCCAACCAAACATATTATTACAACATACCCACCAATTTATTTCAACCCATCAAACACATTTATCTAAAGATTCCTTAGTAATCTATCTTTCTAGTAATACAACATTCTTCAGTAATATAACATTCCCTAAACCAAATGTACTCTATATAACCAATTTTTAAAGAATGGAGGTTATTATTACCTCCTATATAATCAATATTAATTATTATTGGTTTGGAAAGATTATACGAATCTTATATTACTTGACAACTAAACGTAGTAATTTAAGTAATTAAACACACCCTTAGTTTTAACACGTGTAAAGGAACGTCAGTACACGGAGGAATGCCGGCGCTTATATAAATCGTTCCTGTCTACTCATAACTCGATTCCGTCAAACGACATCGTTTCAGGGCAGACCAAACCGTACAGTTATTGAAATACTAATTCCTCCGCTTAGCGAATGAGATCAAGCCAACTCTCGGCATTTTAAGGACATTTTTGGGCTTCCCCACACTATTTTTTTTTTTTTTTTTTACAGCCTCTCGAAACATTGATTTATTTAATTATCTCGTCGCGATCCGGCGAGAGTTTCATCTCTCGATCGATCAGAAATGGCGGGGCAAAATGCGACCAACACTGATCTATTCGATGCGTATTTCAGACGAGCAGATTTGGACGGTGACGGTCAGATCAGTGGAGCTGAAGCCGTCGGTTTCTTCCAAGGCTCAAATTTACCCAAACAAGTCCTCGCGCAGGTATTCATCCTCTAATTCAATCCAATCCGTACCGTTTTTGTTTTCCTTCGATTTTTTCGTTTTCGAGAGTTGCTTGTTTCGTTGAATTTGTTGCGAATTTTGAGTTGGAGATTTAGTTTGTGGGACAGTTAGTTAGGGCTAAGCTTTGGAGTTTGATTGAGATTGAATAGAATGGCGATGTTGAATTATTTGGCTTTGTTTTGATTGGATGTTTGGCATTTCGTGTTTGTAATGGCTGTTTGGTTTTGTTGAGATGCTAATAGTTTTAGTTTCGTTTTTGAGTCCAGAGGCAGTGTTGGGAGAAGAATAAGCGTTGTGTGTGTGTCAGGATTGAGTGATTTACTATAATGGTTTCGCAATTTTTTTAACACACTTTTTTGTTGGGAACTTGATCTCTTGGCACTCTATGGATGGTTCTGTTTTGTGCAGGTATGGACACATGCTGATCAGAGAAAAGCTGGCTTTCTTAATCGAGCAGAATTTTACAATGCTCTTAGACTCGTTACTGTGGCACAAAGTAAGCGAGAATTGACTCCAGACATAGTGAAGGCAGCATTATACAGTCCTGCTTCAGCTAAAATCCCTGCTCCCCAAATAAATCTTGCAGCTACACCGAGTTCTCAGTCTAGGCCGGGAGCACCTGCTCCACAGTTGAGTGCTAACCAACCACCATCACCTCAAAACATTGGTGTTAGAGGACCACACGGCCTTGGTAATGCAAGCACTGTTGGAAATGCTCCACAGTTGAGTGCTAACCAACCACCATCACCTCAAAACATTGGTTTTAGAGGACCACAAGGCCTTGGAAATGCAAGCACAAACCAACAGTTTTTCCCATCTCAACCAAATCAGTTTAGGCCACCCCAATCAGTGTCTTCTGGTGCTGGACCTCATCCCCAACAAATGCTTGCAAGCCGAAGTATGCTAAGTGGAAGTACTATGCAAGTGGCTCGCCCTCCAACTTCAAATGTATCAACTAATTATCTTGGTGGAGCTACAGGTGGTCCTTTGGGGCCTGCAACTTCACAAGTGCCTACCAGAGGGATTAGTCCTTCCAAGGCTCAGGATGGATTTGGTTTGACAGCTTCAAGTTTGACTCCCTCTGTTCAACCTAGACCACCAGCAACATCAGGGCAGACTCCAGCTACTGCTCCAGCGCACCAAGTTTCAAATTCTGAAGCTTTGGTTGTTTCAGGCAATGGGTTTGCCTCTGGCTCACTTTTTGGAGATGTATTTTCTGCAACTCTAGTTCAACCAAAGCAACCTGTCGTGACATCTTCTGCAGGTAGCTTACCTGTCTCAAGCACAATTGTTCCAGCATCCTCTGCGCCTGAACCATCAGTGAAACCCAGTTCAGTTGAATCCTTACAGACTTCAATTCCTCAGCAACCTTTGGGTGGTCAGTATCAGCAAGGTCGGTCAGCAGTGAAACTGAATAACCAGTTTCCAGTTCAGAGTACCACTGCTTCTACTTCAACTGGGTTTCCTGTTGGAGCTGCAAATCCAGCTTCTACTCAGCCCAATATTCCATGGTCAAAAATGACTCAGTCTGAGGTTCAGAAGTATACTAAAGTTTTTGTGCAAGTAGACACAGATAGAGATGGGAAAATCACTGGTGAACAGGCGCGTAACCTGTTCTTGAGTTGGAGGCTCCCAAGAGGTAGTATTTGAGATGTTGAGATGTTCCTTTTTTTTTTTTTCCTGCTAGGATCCTTCTGTTGGTTAAGTGTGAGCTCAATTTTGGTCTAGTCTAACTTGTATCTCTATATTGATTGTTAGTTATTTTTTGGTTGTAAGGCATGCTATTCATTTAAAGATAAGGTTTGTGGTCATCTGGTCAGAAAGAGATAACTGTTGGGATGTTTTGCAATATGCTTTGCTAGCTTTTGGCTGAACATTTGACATGACACTATAATAAATTTGGATTATACAAATTTGTGAACAGGTTGGTTGTTGGTGGGAACTAAATTTTTCTCTTACCACATGATAATTGTGTATGTTATTCTTGTTGGTGTTTCAGAGGTTTTAAAACAGGTGTGGGATCTATCTGACCAAGATAACGACAGTATGCTCTCTTTGAAGGAATTCTGCATTGCTCTCTATTTGATGGAACGTTTCAGAGAAGGGCGCCCTCTTCCTACGATGCTTCCAAGCACCATCGTGCCTGAAGATGCTCTATTTTCTCTTCCAGGCCAGCCTACAGTTCCACATGGTAGTGCAGCTTGGGGCCATGTTGGAGGTATAGTATTTCTTACTGTGTCACAATCATTCGATGTAGTTGCAACCCTGTCTCCCTTTTATTTATGTATTTGCAAGTTAAAAAGGAAAATTTTGAACAGGTTTACAACCACCACATGGTGCTAGACCTCCTGCAGGAAAGCCACCAAGGCCGGTTCCTGCTCATCAGCCTGATAGAACTGTACAGCCGGTTCAACAAAAATCCAAAGTTCCTCCTCTGGAAAAGCATCTTGTGGATCAACTAAGCAAAGAAGAACAGGAATCGTTGAACGCAAAGCTTAAAGAGGCAACTGAGGCAGATAAAAAGGTACTTACTATGCAATTACTATGTCTAGTTTAAAGCATGCATCACCTGTTAAGGCTCATGCGTTGTATTTCTTTTAATATAAAAGTCATATATGTTTACATCATTTCCAAATATATCTGGGAATAATTTCAATCGGAATCCACATTTAAGGAATCTCTTCCAAATCATTTGAGCAATTTGTTAATTCTTTAATCATTGACCTGACACTGATTTATCCAGTTAAATCAAATTTTACATGTTTGTTTATTCTATAAATTATGGTTGTGTTCCAGAGTATTCGGTCTACAGTTAATTTTTTTTTCTTTCTGTGTGCATCAAAATCAGTAGAATTTGACTGACTTTCGCAGTCTTATATATATTGTTTTGCATTTAAGTGAGACCAATCAATTGTATTGAGACGTGGAATGGTTTGAATTGCACTAACTACTGTTCTTATGGCTATATTTTGAGTGGAAGTACTCATTGTAGCTTTTTTTGGAAATCTTAAATCTGATTTGTTTCTCCTCTATTATTTAAGGTTGAAGAATTGGAAAAGGAGATATTGACTTCTAGAGAGAAGATACAATTCTATCATGCCAAGATGCAGGAACTTGTGAGTATGCCCCGTTGAAGTATTTCCTTTTCAACAACCATCTGATTTTTAAAAGTAGTCATATTGATTTGAATTATGCCAAACGACCACGATAATCATAGATAAACTTAGGTTTGAAATGATTTCATGCTTTTATGCTCACATGTTATGTGAGTTTTGGGAAATTAAAAATAGTTATGCAATAAACAAAACAATTAATATTACATAATTAAGTTTTCTTTCCGTATAAAATCTGTTTAGCTGCCTTATCCATACATATGGTGCAAGTAGTTGCAGATTTCTCTTTTATATTTTTTTAATTTTTTATTTCTTGTAAATATTTTTTGGGGTGGTTGGGGTTTTGGCTAGGAATCATTAATTTATGATAGTTCATTGAAGGCAATTTAGGGGGAAAATTTTTATATTTGTCATTTTTGTGATGGAAATGTCAAGATGAAGTGCTGATATTTCCTTTTCTTTACTCTTTATTTTTCTTTTACCCGGTTCAGATTTTATACAAAAGCAGATGTGACAATCGACTAAATGAGATCACAGAAAGGGTGGCTGGTGACAGACGTGAGGTATCTCCTTTTGTTATTTGCTTATTTGCTATACATGTGTTCGTTATATTATTTTGCTTTGTATTGGACCAATTGGGGTGACTTGTAATTCAGGTCGAGTTGTTGGCGAAGAAGTATGAGGAGAAATATAAGCAGTCTGGAGATGTAGCCTCCAAACTAACTCTTGAAGAGTCCACATTTCGTGATATTCAGGTAATTTTGGTTCAGTGATGGCCAATGAATGTTTTTTCTTCTTTGGAGTCAGTTGAGGTCATTTTGCTATTAATTTTGGCTTCTCTAACTGCTGTATAGTTCTCCTTTTATCTAACTATATGATATTGCAATTGGTTTTACTTGCAGGAGAAAAAAATGGATTTATATCAGGCAATTGTCAAAATGGAAGGAGATAGTGGTGATGGTTCTCTTCAGGTATGCTTTTTACTGTGATTAGTTAGGCGGAGATTTTATGAGAACATATATTTAAGTCAATTTTTATTGGGCTTTGCAGCAACGTGCTGATACAATCCAAGTAGGCCTGGAAGAACTAGTGAAAAATTTGAATGAACGCTGCAAACAATATGGATTGCGTGCTAAACCAACTTCACTGGTTGAGCTTCCCTTTGGTACTTTTCTACTGTCTTACTAATGTTATGGTCTGCTTAATTCATGCCCCATTGGAGGCTTTTATTTATCTGACTATGATGAGGAATATCTTTTAAATCAAAATATCTATTTTCTGCAATTATTTTTAGTATATGAGAATCACAATTTTTGTACGTTAATAAATCTCTTGTATATGTGTCGTTTTGATCTTTGAATAGAGTAAACCATACTGAATATGATGTATTTGTACATTATATAATGTGCTCTTTGATGTATGTATAGGGATATTGTTTTTTGAAATGACAAGGGCTGTACTTTGATAAAATGGGTTACATAGGTTTAATTGTATAGATAAAAAAGTTGTTATAGTGGGTTTTTGTGTGTTATAATTTTTTTTCTTGAGTTTTATATTATCTCTCATCCTTCTAATTTTCCTTTTTATCTAGTTGCGTGATTGATATTTATTTATTTATTTATAAGAGATCATGCTTTAACTTTTCTCAATTTTTTTTTAATGGTATTCCTTAAGGTTGGCAACCTGGAATCCAAGAAGGAACAGCTGATTGGGATGAAGATTGGGACAAGTTTGAAGACGAAGGTCTGTCAAAGAGTTGCCTTTGGGATTTGTTATTATTATTATTTGTTTGGCCTGAGAATTTGTAACACAGAACTTATTTGGTATCATAGAATTGTATTCTTTTGATGGTTTGTTTAAACTTTTTAGTTGTAAATTGCATTGCAATATTATTTGGATGAATTGTTATCTTTTATGTATTTCAGGATTCACTTTTGTCAAGGAACTCACGCTTGATGTGCAAAATGTCATAGCCCCGCCAAAACCAAAATCTTCACTAGTTCGAAAAGATGTGACTTCTATGAACAATGGTTTAAATACTTCATCCTCAGATACTGAAGCTAAACCCGAGAAGGTCATGAGTAAAGGTGAAGAGAACACTGAAAATGAATTGGCCCATGATCAAACTGAGAATGGCTTGGCAAGAAGTCCTCCTGACAGTCCAGCTGGAAGTGCTGCAGCAGAGAGCAAATCTCAAGAAGTCCAAGATTCCCAAATGAGGAACATTGGTGCTGATGGCTCACCCCATGATAAAGAAACACGAAGGTTTGTGGCTTTCTTTCTTATTTTAATTTAATTTAGTTTGTTTCATTTTTCATCTTTGGAAAGGGTCTGCAGGAAGCCAATGTTGTGTGAAGCATGCTTGCAGTTGGGATTCTGTTTCATTATCATTTCTCTACTTCGTTTATGTTATGCTTCATTAGACTGAAACTTTTGGTGATTTACTTGTTCAGTGATCAGGACGGTACTGAATCCGTTTTTTCGGGAGACAAAGTATTTGATGAACCTAGTTGGGGAACATTTGATACTCATTATGATACAGAATCAGTTTGGGGCTTTGACACAGAGAGTACCAAGGTTTGTGAACTATTATTGTTGTGCACTGCATTCCATGTGCTAGTCGTGCCGCACTGCAATACTGGAGAGCGCCACTGAATGCAATGCTCTTTTATTTTGATTTATCTTTTCATATGATCATTTATTTTCTCTTATATTATTGTGTAGGCTACATGAATCCTATTTTAGCATCCAAGTATTCTGTAATCTGTTTTAAGTTGAAGCAGGAGGCTAAAATCTGTTTTATCTACTTTTAGTATGTTTTGTTTTGGTTTTATACTGATAGGTGAAAAAGAAGAAGAGAACTTTATATATTATTAATATTTTTATATCTGCAAGGCTTTTGGTGTTAGCCTGTTAGTTTGTTTTTGGTTCTATTCTAGACATGTGAACTGGCTCAGTTATCCTTGGAGAAATTGCTCAGATTAACTCATGCATCAAAAACCTAAATATTTTATTCTTCTTCTGTGTTTTAGAACATTTTATTGTATCTAATGCGTTAGATGTTGCTTTAAAAACTGTAATTTGAAACGGGGATCATTTTGTAAAGCTAGGGAACAATTGGCTGCTTGCATGCTTGTTGAGAAATTTGTGAAAGCTTTTTGGTGAACTTGTTGCATGAGAAAATTTGTCAAGTGTGATGAGTTCTTAAAATGCACATACATTGGTTCAATGATTTTTCTCTCTTTTCCAATGCAGGACATGGATCATGACAGACGTGAAAGTTCTCTATATGGTCTTGATGACTTTGGTCTGAAGCCCATAAAAACAGATTCCTCTCGCAGCAATAACATGTTTCTGGGGAAGAGCTCATCAATTTTTGCAGATTCTGTTCCAAGCACCCCTGCTTACAGTACTTATGGAAACTCTCCACGGAGATTTAGTTCAGGGCCAGATGATTATTCCTTCGACAAGGGGAAGAGTATATTTGCAGATTCTGTTCCTAGCACTCCTGCCTATAGTTTTGGAAACTCCCCACGAAGGTTTAGTATGGGATCAGAGGAGCCTTCGTTTGACAGCTTCTCTAGGTTTGATTCGTTCAACACACGTGACAGTGGATTCTTCCAGTCTCCACGCCATACTCTTGATAGATTTGATTCTATCCGTAGCACCAAAGATACTGAACAGAGTCATGGTCTCTCAATGAGGTTTGATTCATTTAATGCAAATGATAGCGGATTCTTCCAATCGTCACAGAGTTCCCTTGCAAGGTTTGATTCCGTCCGCAGCGCCAGAGACTCAGATCATGGTCATGGGTTCCCAGCATTTGATGAGACAGATCCATTTGGATCAAGTGGACCATTTAAGACATCATCAATAGAGAGTCAAACTCCAAAGAGTAGTTCTGACTTCATTGATCCATTCGGGTCAACCGGACCATTTAGCATGTCAGTAGAAAGTCAAAAGAGAAGTTCTGAGTACTCAGATCCATTTGGTTCAACAGGGCCGTTTAGCACATCAGTAGAGAGTCAAACTCCAAAGAAAACCTCAGAATGGAGTGCATTTTAGTAGGAGAGAAGGGAGTGCGGTACTATTAGATTACATGTTGTCTTTCTTGACAAATTGAAGCCTTCCTTCCTTTGCTGGTAAGATTTATTAAATATTGGATTAGGTGTGGCGGCTTTGGGTTCTTTGAAGAGAGTATATATAATGTGACAATTGAGTGATTGTGCTATAAGGTTAATTTTGTTCTTCAATTTTTGTTTTTCTTTTCTTTTCTTTTTTGATGATTGAATTACTTATTGTGTTGTATTCTTTTGTAATATCTTCTTCTTCTTCTTCTTCTTCTTCATCATCATCATCAGGATAGCCTCGATATACATGTAATTCGCTTTCAAGTATCAGGCGTTAATCATTATTTGTGATATTTATAATCTGCATCATCTTGTTCCTCGACTACATTTTCTTACTCTTTTGTTGGTCTTTATAATGGAGGATCCAAGTTTGCCATGGGATTTTTGAAATGTGCTTTTTGGGTACACATATGTGATCTACATTTATTTTTGTTGGGCATTTGTGAAGGCTTTATAACTGTAATGAGTTCTTGGGTTGACGCAGGGTTTACTATAACTCAATGAACAAATGGGTTGTCGAATTCGCATTTTGATAGAAAGGAGCCATAAATATTAAATAATAGATGATCATTTGTATTTGACACGTAATCTCTTCTAAACTATGGTTGTCCAACAATTTTATATGTAATCTCTTCTAATTTATTTATTTAATTTTTTAAAGCTTTAGTTTAAAGTAGTATATAAAATATTGTACAAGGAATCTTCTAAATAAATTAACAGGGACAAAAAAGGAAAAAAATTTATACAACTCGGTTCCTTTTGAGGGGCTTAAAAAAAGGGAGAATTCAAATGGTACACGCCTTTGTGTAAATCTAAGACGTGTGGATCCATCTAATTAACCATTTCAGGGACGCACCCATTATTTCATCCAACATCAAAACATTGATAGATTTAAAACATTACAGATAAAATAATAGATCAGCTGCAATTGATTGATTAGCTGTTCATAATAATTTTGAACAAGCTACACATAATACTAATAATATTACAACACACACAATTTCACATTCAACAAACTCATATTAACAACATTGGTTTATTTCTTCTAATAACAATCAAAAGGCCTCAACTCTTAAGCTTTGGATGCAAAAATCTCCATTAGTGAAGAGTAGGTTCCTGTGATTCCAATGATCACTCCAAATACCACAATGCAAGCATCCCAAGCAATGCCGCTCCATCCCAGTTCTTCCTTGAACACCAACCAATGGAACAAAGCAGGCAACACAAATCCCAGCACACAGCACACACTACTCCCCACCAGTGATAAAAAATCTGCAAAGTTAGGCACCAGTAGAGCCACCAGACTCACTGCCAATACAATCAACCATCTCAGCCACATGCAGTACCTGTAATCACAAAATCGCCTCTCGAAAACCTCATAAACTGGGTTCATCATCAATGGAAAAGTGAAGAACAGATTGATGCACAGTCCCAGCTGCACCAGAGTGCTCACCACTCCTGGTCCAAGGTTGGTAGTGATTATATCTTTCGTGTCTTCACCAAATGCAAAGTAACCTAAAGCCCCAAATGCTCCATATAACAAAGAAATGAAAACCATACATAAGGCTAGTATTTTCCCAAATCTACCTTTGTTTCTAGTCTCAGATTCCAGTGGCATTATCATGCCAACACCTTCAAAAGCATAAACTGCCACACCAATACCATAAGCAAACACAGAAAAATCACCAAAAGCCTTTAAATCAGGCATCTTTTTGAGGAAAATCATGACATCCTCCACCATCACCACCCCCATAGCTCCAAGATCAACCACATCAGCAAAAATACTCAGAGGAGCCAAATGGGTCAATGATGGAATTGAATTTAACCCCAATTGAAAAGGAAAACAACCCCAAATATATAAAGCTTTTGGGGTCAAAAAACCTAGAATTTTACCAGCACTAGTAACATCATCGTATGATTTATTAAATAAATGAGCCAAAGTATTAGCAATAAAAATGAGGTAACTGATACAAAACCCAGCTTGCGCAAGGACAATCATGGCATCAACAACAAGACGACCAATTGAACCACACACAGCAAACCCGAGATCACCAAATGAGGCAATTTTTGAGAAGCCATTAAGAGTGTCAAGCTTCCGGCGTGTGACAACCAAGAGCATCATACAGTAATAGGTCAAAGCTGCAACAGAGAAGAGCATGAGTGAGCCCATGATCCATCCTGTTTTTTTGAAGGTGTACGGGAGGCCTAAAACTCCAGCACCAACTATGGCTATAAAAACGTTTGCAAAGGTCTTGGATCGAGTAGAAAGTTGCGGTGATTTGGTTAAAAGTGGAGTATCTTCTCTGGGAAAAGGAGGCAACACATGTGAAGACGAACTTGCCTCTTTATCAAACCCCATGATTTGATTTTAATTAGCTCCAATTTTGATCGAATTGGTGAAATTTTGAGAGAGAGATGGGTTGATTTGCAAATGGGGATTCAGAAGTTTTGAGAAGAGTTGTTGAAAGATTGTTGCTTTATGGCGATGAAAGATGGAGACTGGAGATGAAGAAAAGATTTATAATCGCGAGAGTTCGTACTGTTGTGTAATGTTAAATAATAGGTGTTGGGATAAATACATTTACATCCCTCAAGTTAAAAAAGTAACACATTGATCCACTTTTTATTTGGTTAAAAAGTAACACATCATCTACTCGTATTTTCGGTTTTTTTTTTGTGATCCCTAAAATTTAAAAAATATCTCCAACAGTATAATGTCGTCAGGTTTCAACTGTTAAAATAAAACAATGAAATTACAAGAGCACCCTTTTCTTTGTAAACGGATAGAAAGCAAAGTGTTACTTTATGTCTTATGATTGATAAGTGAAAAATGAATAAAGATAGGTTTACAAACACTTTTCACAATTTTCTCTCATAAACGCTAACGTGGCAGCTTGCAATTGGTTAGCTAACATTTGGACAGACGAGACTCATTACGAGCTGATAAATTATGAGTTGACATGTCATGTTTGTGAAAGAAAGTTAGTAAAAATGATTTGTGAGTGTAATATTATTAGTGGAAAATTAGTCTAAACTCGAGGGATCTATATGTAATTAACTATTGTGGTTTTAATTTCTTTTGGGTAAAAACTAAAAAATCTTAATTTATTTTAATTTCAAGGGAAGCCCTATAATTTAACAAATCTCTCCGACAGTATAAAAGTGATTAGATTTCCTTTATTAAAACCACTGAAATATCAATAATGCCCTTACTTGTCCGATATATTGTTGCTTACTTTTGTTGACTAAACCTTTTTGTATCTATAAAATAATAAGAAAATAAACCTCGTGCCAATATTTTTTATCCAATACATGAACCCACAGAAAACAAACCCCGTGTCCGAATTGTGATTATTGTGAATTACTATCCATACAAATTATATATAAACTCATATATACCCACATGGTTACCTCTACTAATTCTTGGGTTTTTTTTTATATCTTAGATTGTTCGGGTTAGTTTACGCATATTTCAATTAGTTTTCTGGGGGTTTTAAAGTTGATAGTTAGGTAAAGCTCTGGTGACTACCCATTTATTAGTAGTCGTGAGGATTCGAACTCAATATCTCTTGAATAATACATTCAAAAGTCCAAAATGAACCACCAAACTACCTAGAGGTAGTTATGTGTAAGTTTTTCTTTACCTTTTAATTGAGCAAATAAAGTAATAATAATGCTACGGACACTGGTATTTTTACACCGAAATCTTGTACCACCTTACGTGTCCTGTGATTCACACCAGCAAACCAGACACGTTTCATGTTATTAATTTTTTTCTAATGAACGGCTATTCACTTACATGGACTCCCGTCCATATTATTGGACGAGAGTCCATTTACTACAGATGGACATCCCGATTTAAAGGACACCCGTCCATTAGTAAAATAGAATAAACAATTTTTATAAAAATTAGGAACGACCGTTCATAGGTTATGGACGGCTGTCCCTAAATATTGGACGAGTATTCATATTTTAATGGACGTCAGTCCATTAACAATTCTATTTAAAAAATTAAAAAGCATTTAGGGACGGCCATTCATCAGTTATGAACGGTCGTCCCTTTATTTTGGATGGGCGTCCGCAAATAAGAGACGTCCGTCCTTAATCGAAATATGAAAATTAAAAAAAAAAACTTTGGGGACGCCTGTCTATAACTAGTTTTCTAGAAGCTTTAAAATTAATAGTCAGGTAAACCTTTAGTAACTATCCATTATTAATAGTTATGAGGATTCAAACTCAACCCCTTTTAAATAATACATCTAAAAATCTCAAATGAACCATTAAACAATAGTTATAAAGTTTTTCTTTTACCTTTAATTGTGCAAATAAAGTAATATTATTGTGATTGATAGAATACCACTTGACAAATTTGAATCATGAAAGAAGCCAATTGGAAAAGAAATGAAGTGGTAAGAAGTTGGTAGAACGTCCAAGAACCCACATGGAAATTGACATCCTCCTCCATCAAAACGAGATCTCAACATAATATAAAGCGAAAAAAAGGCCGAAAAAAAATAAAAATAAAAATAAAAAACTCTTGTCATAGATATGAATCTTTGGCAGAATGGGGTCAAGGTAAAATCATTTTCATTTGATAAATGCGTTATGCGATCATAGACAGTAAGTAATAAGCAGCCCAGATTTTTATGGCCTAACAAAAACAACGAACACAAATCATTGAGTCAACATCTAATCAATCACACAGTCAATTATAACGGCTAATACAATTACAAAAAATGTTTGATAAAAGTGTCGCTATGCACATAAATTCTGCAACCCTCCACCATACAAATGGAAAAATACAAGGAACCTAACATGTTGTGGGCCAAATGACTAAGACTTTATTATTATCCGTACACGTTAAGGCTCAGTCTTATTGGACCAGGTTGCCTGCCTGTCTTTGATTTTTCTTTCTTATCTTTGTATAGAGGCAAGTCATCTTATCATTTATATTACTTATATCAATTCACTTTGTTTTCTATTATATAGCCAGGAAACCATCTTATAATCAAATAAGTCCATTTACACATATTTCAATTAATTTTAAGTAGAAATTAACACAATAATTTATTGTTAGATAATTAAATTTGAAACCATATGTTTATTCATATCATCTCCAATCCATCTTAACTATCTGGACCACTCACAAATAAGTTATATAGACAAACTCTTATTAGTTAATTATATGTCTATTTGATGCACTAATGCTATATTATGTATACAATTAACTAATAATGACGTATTATATCAACAAGAATAACATAAACACGTCTCATGGTTAGTTGGTTGTATGAACATCCATTGTATAGAAGATTTCATTTTAATGGTAAAACTAAAACTCCTTACCACTTCTTTAAAACTGTTATGCGGAGAAAGTGACATGACAAATTTGATAAGTAAGCAAGAACTCTTGTGATATTATACCTTTCTGTTCTAGAATTTTGACAGTTTTGTTCATTAATGACCAGTTAAAACCATTTGGGGCACATCAAAATACCACTGCAGATAATATGTAAGTGCTATAGCTCCAAGAATGATGATTCAAGTCTTTATAATCTATTGCAATAATTTGTTTAGATTGGACATATTCTTGCTCTCTAACCATATTGTTTGTTGACTAAGACAAAGAAGCAAAGAGTTCCATGTTGAATAATCTGGAAGGAAACCTTTCTCAACCATGTGTGAGAAGATCTTCAGAGCATTCTGGATATCTCCCTTCCTACAAAAAGCATCAATCAAAGGATTATAACTTTCTCTATCAGGTACAGAGCCTCTCCTTACTATATCCTCCATCAGCTTCAAAGCTGTCACAACATTTCCTTGCCTGCAAAACTCACTAATCAGAGCATTGAATGTCGATGCAACTGGAAAATAGCCATGCTCAATCATCTCATTCATTAGTTCAAATGCTTCTCGCACGTGCTCTTTTCGGCAAAAACCATGGATTAAGCAATCATAAACAAGAACATTTGGAACTCCCCCTTCTTCAGTCATCTGATTGAAGACCTTTTTCACGTTATCTATGCTACCATCCTCACAAAAGCCTAATATCCTTAAGCTTCTATCAACAGCTTTTGGGAATAACTTTTCCATGTTTGTTAGAAACCTAAGTGCTTCATCCTGTTGATTGTCCTTGTACAAACCATACAACACACTATTATATGGACTAATGCGGCCCTTGGAATCCTCTTTACCATCCTCCATCAGTTCTAAAATCTTAAACCCGTCTTTTATCCTCCCTCCTGAGCACAAACCCTTAATTAATGTATCATATGTAACAAAGTTCCAATTGATCCCATCTGTTTTCATATCATTAAACATATCAAGAGCTTAATCCAACATCTCAGATTCACAAAAACCAGAAATCAATATATTATATGTGTCTGCATTCGGAAGACAACCCTTCCTCTCCATCTCTTTCAAAAACCGATGCCCAACTTTCGCCTTCCCTAATCTACAAAAACCCTTTATCAAGGTGTTATAAGCAGTGACATCAATTACACCTCCCTTGCTCTCTACTCTCTCAAAAATTTCAACAGCTTCCGTTACACGGCTTGCATTGCATAGAAGTTCCACAACCTTAGTAACAGTGACAATATTAGGTACATAGCCAAAATTAAAGCATTTCTCCAATAACACAAGAGCATTAACTAAATTCTCTTCTTTGCAATAAGCAGATATCAACACGTTAAAAGTTACGTCATTGGGTTCCCGCATCTCATTCATCAAACTCCTTGCCCTCCCAACTTTTCCATTTTTGCAAAGTGCATGAAGCAACGTGTTATAAATCACACTACTCGGCTTTACACCCCGAGATTTCATAACTTGCAAGACCTTAAAACCATCACCAATCCTATTGGTCAAGCAAAGACCCTTCATCAAAATACCATAAGTGTATTCATCACCTTGAATCCCACTTGCCATCATCTTCTTCCTATAAAATGCTCTTGCCAAATCAATATCTTCCTTAACAAGAACGTCAAGAATGGCATTAAAAATTTTAAGGGATGGCGCCTTATTAAACCTTGAAACCAAATCAACGACTTTAGTAACTTCTTTAATCATCCGCGCCCTGCCAAGACCGCGGACAATTGTGATGAAAATAGATTCATCCGGGGGTGATTGAATTGAGTGGGGCATTTCATCAAGCAGTTCCTTGACGGTGTCAAAGCGTCGGAATGCACATAATTTGTAGATCAAAGCACGGTAAGTGGATTGTGAGTGGGTGAAATTTGGGACTTTTGAAGCCCATCTGAATGTCTGAAGAGCTTGGGAGGCTGATTTTTGATCTAAAATGAGACGGGCTATATGTTCGTGAGTTGGCACTGGAAAGGATGACGAGGAACTGGGTTTTGATTGCGAGGTGAGAAGTGGGTTTAGACAAGCAGTAGCTTTTATTAGCGTAAGCTTTAAAGGGTTTGAGATATTGAGCATTGAGGGAGTTCTTGGACGCTCTTTCCAATGGTTAATTACGACTTTCTTAACTGACTCACTTCTGCTTGGAGTGTTTCAGAGTCGATACTTCGTTACTTCACAACTTAAAAAGAATTTACAAGACTTCAGTTCAGTCCATTCAAAACTGAAAAATGAAGAAAAAAATCACTCTTTCATGTTTAGTTGACTAATCCAAATTGTGATGTAATGGAGTTTATACAAAACCCTTTCATCAAAATAGAACTCTTTCCACATTTATCACCCATTGCTCTTAGCAAACTCTCTTGTGTGGAAGCTGCTGGCTGGTGGATTTTGCACATGGAGTACTTAATTTATACAAAAAAGTAAATATATCTTGTTGAGTACCAAAAAATCTGCAGTTCCTAATGGAATGATAGGTGACAAAAACTTGACACAATTGCTACTTGACAGGAACTTACTGTCGCTAGTCAGTTCATAACTCACAAGATATGAAGTGATCACAGCAGTAATATGGGCATGAATAATTTAGCAACACATTAAGCTTGATAAAGTTGGCATGAATAATTTAGCAAACACATTAAGCTTGATAAAGTTGACATTCTCCTTAATTAGTTTGAATTTTAATCAATTCAAATTCTTGTCTTAGACAAAGAGATAGGAGATGATTTGTTCAGAGATCAGTCAAGGAACGAAAAGATTGCAGCTGGTGGAACCATCAATGGTCACAAGCAGAGGCCAGTAGACTGTATATTAAAACAATATACCAAGATTTGCTGCTAAACCCAGAAAATCAAGAAGAAATACAAACTCAACATGCTTAAACAAAGCAAGTTTCTATTACACTGTAAGCATGAGGAGAAAAAAATAAAAAAAATTTCCTTAATTAAAAATTTTTTTTTTTATTTTTTATTTTGTGATGTAATGCTAAGGAGGTTGGAATAGAAAAACAAGACAATAGATGATTGACTTCCAACGATCAAGTAGGAGCTAAGTCCAGCAAACTTAAGAATCATAACCCAGAGATAATTCTTCAAAGCTATAAACCAAGAAATTTATTTAGCATCCAGCGAAATCTAGGTTATAGAGCTACACAATGTCCGTATCAACCAAGCAAATAATATATAAAGAAAAAACTACTAGTATCATCTCCTTCAGCAAATCTAGTTCAAGTGTTTAAACCACAAGTCCGAAGTTATTTTTCAGCAACCTCATGACATGCTGAAAACCATTGAAATAGCTTGACAAAACACACTGTGAATGAATTTTTCCCTCAAAATTTGAAAACATATTCAGCAAATTGGCAGAAGTCACATAATAAATCCCCATTATTCCAACTTCAAAATCGTATCCAATATGGAAACAACCTTTTTCCAGAACGACCAAGTCAATGAACACTAAAGTAACAACTACCCTTGAAAAATGGAATGAAATCAGTGTCCACTGCCTAATCTTACCACATTCAGATCAGCATGAGAATGCCACAAAACCGACAAATTATGGTAACCAAAATGTCATTTCGGCAACACAATTATTAACAAAGTAACCACATATGAGATGTACAAATCATCATTTTAGTAACATAAAATAGGTGATTGATAAATGTTAACTAGCTTGATGGGGATTACACTTCTACATTAGATCTCCATTAAATCAAGATATCAAAATAACCTTTGCACTGAATCCAATATTTCAATGAACATTAAAGTAACAACAACCCTTGAAATTTCACTATCCATCTATTAAAGTGCAAATGAAGTCATTGACAGTGCCTAATCTTGCGACTTTGCATAATGCAGGTTAGTCCTACTGAATCAAATGGGTTGCTGTAACCTACAATGTAAATTTCCAAACACCTCAAATTTAATGGAGTAACGAAATATGAATAGTAAATAAAATCATTGCACTGACCTAGGATGTGTGATCTGTGTATAATAGGTATTGGAACTACACTAATGGGGAGTACTTCCATTAAAGCAGAACTTAAGAAAAAAAAATATACAAACACAACTTATTCACCTCAAGATGAAACATTAACCAAGAACAAATATTCTCCCTCAAATATCGACAACATATTCAGCAAACTGGCACCATACACAGCATAGATCTCTGTTAATTCAAGCTAAAAATCATATTAATCATAGGATATTAAAACAACCATTTGCCTGAACTCTTGGAAAACCAAAAAGAAGGCAATGTCCATGCCTAACCACGCCATGTTAAGATCATGCATGAGAATGCTACAAAATCAAAGGGTCATAGTAACCACAATATCATTTTCATAACACAGACGGCTAACAGAATAAAAAACTATGCAATATACACTACATTATCTTAGTAACGTAAAATGTGTGATTAATAAACGTTAACTAGAGAAATGGGAGGTAAAACCCATAAAAATCAAAGCTTAAGAAAACAAAAACAATTCTTATCCACCGAATAAAAGAAGTACAAACATTTCAAAATTTTTGTTTAGACAAAACCCTAAACACTGATGTTATTTAATCCAATTCCTTAACAACCTTAATCCCCATACTGTTGGCAGTCCCAATAATGGACTTACAAATACTCTCCAACGACATGTACTGGCAATACGGGTCCGACTGTTTAACTTTTGCTATCTCATAAATATGTTTAAGCGACAACGTCGAGGCCACCACGTGCCCAGGCCGGCCGCTACCGGATTCGATCCCCGCCACCTTTTTAAGGTACCACGTGACTGAAGGAGACTTAACGGTGAACTCGAAGGTGTTGTCTTTGAACGCCGTAATCGTCACCGCCATCGGCGTGTCTGGCTTGTACTTTTGTGTACGGGCATTGAAATCCTTGCAGAAAGCCATTAAATTGAGTCGGTACTGACCCAGAGCTGGACCCACCGGAGGAGCCGGCCTTGCGGCACCGGCTGGCACCGTCAGCCTGATCGTGGCGGCGACCGGGCGGCGAGTGAGGATCTCTTTTAAAGTTGCCATGGAGCCTGAGGGTTTTGGAGTGTAAACTGAGAGCAATGTAAGTTGTTTGAGTTTGAGACAAAGAGGGTTTATTTGTAATTCCTCAAACTTGGGATTGGGCTTGAGAATCCCAGGCCCAGCCCATATCATGTACTATTTATTTTTCTCTAAAAAGAGCAAGATGATATTATATTTAATCTCACCGATAATGCATGTCAATGTTTATGAAAAAAAATAATATTACACATACAACATTTTTATATAATATTTCTCATATAATATTATGTGACAAAATATGATTAGTTGATTTTAAATTAAAATTAAACTTTCACCCAATCATCTTTTACTGCTTGTATGAGAAATGTTGTATGAGAATATTATATGCGTAGTGTTATTTTATGAAAATTTTCTTCAAAAGAAAGATAAGAGTTGTTTTTATTCTCAACAATGGTAATGTTAGACACAAAATAATGGGAATAAATACAATCATTTATGACACATATCTCCTTATTCATATTGCAATTTCTTTGACTCGTTAACCGAGTTTTTTTTTGCAACCGGGTTGTCCAGACCAATTTGTGTGTATCTTAACTAATTTTGGGATCTATTAAACATCTTACAAGCCCAATGGGCCAAGTAAAGTTTGTGCATACCACAAGTAATTTATGGGGTTTATTGAACACCTTATAAGCCCAATGAGCCAGGTAAAGCTTGTGCGTACCTCAAGTAATTATGGAGTTTATTGAACACTTTACAAGCCTAATGGGCTAAGTAAGTCACTAGGGTCCATTGAACACCTTACAAGCCTGAGATTCATTAAACACCTTACAAGCCCAATGGGCTATGTAAGTCACTAAAGTCCATTGAACACCTTATAAGCCTAATGGGTCGGGTAAGTCACCAGGGTCCATTGAATACCCTATAAGCCCAATGGGCCAGGTAAGTCATCGAGGTCTATTAAACCCTACAAGCCTAATGAGTCAAGTAAGTCATCGGGCCTATTAAACATCTTACAAACTTAATGGGTCAGGTAAGAGTTGTTTTTATTCTCAACAATGGTAATGTTAGATACAAAATAATGGGAATAAATACAATCATTTATTATACATATGCCCTTATTCATATTGCAACTTTTTTTGACTAGTTAACCGATTTTTTTTTTTTTGGGATAACCGAATGTTTGAGCTAATTTGTGCGTACCTTAACTAATTTTCGGGGTTCATTGAACATCTACAAGCTCAATGAGCCAAGAAAAGCTTGTGCCTACCTCAATTAATCTCTGGAGTCCATTGAACACTCTACCAAAGTCCATTGAATACCCTACAAACCCAATGGGCCAGGTAAAACTTGTGTATACCTTAACTAATCCACAGGGTCTATTGAATACTTTACAAACCTAATGGGCTAGGTAAAACTTATGCGTATCTCAACTAATTCTCAATAAGTCAGGTAAATCACAATTATAATAAGTAACCACTTTGAAGGATTCGAACACAAGACCTCTGGAGTTTGGACAACCCAAAGTGGTCCACAAATTTATGCTCTCCACAGTGGTACACAAATTCGACATTACAGTGAAAATAAATGCAAACCATTCAGCATATTAAGAGAAGAAGAATTATTTCTCATTAGATAACATGTTTGAATATCACCATTAACTCAAAAATACAAACACTACCAAAACTGTTAAAAGACTCACATTAAGTCATATCAACAACAACCACCAAAAAAAAAAAAAAAAAAAATTACATAACAAAGTCGAAGTCTCATAAGCTATTCAAGGCGCCCTTAAGATGATCCAGGCCTTCAGCTGATATACTTCTTCTTCTATGATATTTAGGAATTTCAATCTTAGGAGGTGGATTTGCAGAAAAACAGATTACTACAACTGTAAGATTGTCACATGTGTTGCGCTGAAGTGCTTCTTTCACAAGTGCCTTTGAGCACTTTTCAGGATCATTATGTTGCATTAGTGCTTTCCTCACCATTGTCACTGCACATTGGCTACTCATTACATCCCAAAGTCCATCACACCCCAAGATCAGGAACTCATCTTCTTCTGTCAGGATTATTTCCTCCAACTCTGGCTCTGAACTTAGAGGACAATTTGAACCCTTTGAGCCCTTAATGTGCCAGTCTCCAAGAGCGCGAGCTACTGATAATTGGCCATTCAAATACCCGTCGTATATAACACCTCCTAATTTTTCGATTCTTATTCTTTCGGAGGTTACATTGGGTTTATGATCTTTCGACAATTCAATTGCTCTTCCACGTTTGCCTAATACTGCTCGAGAATCTCCAGCATTGGCTATCAGCATCATTCTGTAAGAGTGAGTGTCAAACAAACATTCATAAGTTATGGATTGGTGTCGATTATAACTAGTAAGAAACCACACCTGTCCAACATAAAAGCAGTCAAGGCAGTGGTGCCGGAGGATCTATCAAGAGACTTGGCATCTGCAAGTGCATGATCAGCCTTGGCAAAAGCATTCTTAACAGCCTTTTTTATGCCGGCTGGGAAGTGGGAGTCTTCGACTATAAACTTGAGGATGTTACTTCTGGTGAAAGTTGCTGCATCGATGCCACCATGTCCATCAAACACCTGCAGTTATGAGGAATGTTTCAGTGCACAACCGTATTGGACTCGTGATTTACAAGGTAATTTATCATTTTAGTGTTACAGATTGCCACATATGTCTTGGTTTAGGTCATGCACCAAAAACTGTCATTATGAAAGTTAACAGAGATTTCATCTATTATATCAAAGTATTTCAACCGAACAGCAAGCTAAGTACCCCATAAAATGCTGCGGGAGAAGGGAAATTTGAAGATGAAGGAAGATGTTCACGAAGATTGTCAACACAGATGAACTCATCTTCCATGTACTGTTTTGGTCCTTTCTCAGAATAGCTTCCTGAACGAAATACAGGTGAAAACACAGAATTATCAGCTGGCAGTAGCTTTAAGCCTGTAATTCCTTTTTCTAGTTCCTGCATGAAGAAAGAATGAAAATATTTAGATAAAATCTTATATCCACAATTCTACGGGCAGTGAGAATATATCAAATCTGTTTCTCATTCTCAGGTATCAAAGCAATGGGCTGAGATAAGTTTATAAAGACTTAATCAAGAAACTACTGAGAAATATGCGTTCCACCTTAGCTAACACATAAACATCCACACACATACGTACACGAACAGAAGCACACAGAATTAAACCAGATTAAGCAGACACAGATAATAGACGCAGCGGTTTGGGCTCAAATTAATCATGGGGCATTATGGCAACAGCTTCAGAAGAGAATGTTATACCACTTCCAGCAAGCACTTTGCTGTAGGAATTTTCAGATTTTGCCATGAGTTGCATGCTTAGTTCTGTCCTAATTCTTATATGTGGTGTATTACTTCCTCGGTATCAAGATTTAGAGAAAATCAGCATTTGATTTTTCCTAATTTTTAAAAAACATTTTTCAGAATTACTTTTGGCATAAAGTGAAATCAGAGAAAACAAATCTTTTTCCTGAATTTATGTTAATGATGTTTTTGAGAGAATAAACCCTTTAATTCAACAAAATTCTATGGCAAAAATGCTGTTATTTTTTCATGACGCAAGATCAATAAAGAGGATCCCCACAAAATTTCCATGAAATTCTCACAATTCTTTTTCTACACAAATCCAAACACACCACTTGAAAAAATTCTTCAACCCAAATCATAAAAAATGCATCATCCCAATTGATAAAACTTAACTGCTGAGCATACCCAATTGAAAAAAGATAAAGAATTTTTACTAACCGGTTCAGACAAAAAAGCAGAGCTACTGCAATGCCTGACAGTAGAGAGACTCCTGGGGGGTTTCCCAGCAGAGATTTGATTGGAAGTGTCCAAAATCTCATCATTTTCCTCAATTGAATTTGCTGACACATTCCCATTACACAATTTGGCATCCAATCTGGCTATGTGTTGTGGTGAAACAGCCATTCCCCCTCCACAAGTCACAGACATGAATAAAAACTAACTCCTCCTACTCCATTTTCAATATAATTAAAACCAAAAAAGCCAGCCTTTTTCGTTATAACAAATGCACTTAGCTGGATCCTTGAAAACAACTTAAAAAGAAGGCATATTTAGACAACCCCACAAATAAATAGCTGTCAGAAACTGTAAAATAAATAACTTGATCCAAGATTTAAACGGTGGGTTCACGATAACCCAGAAATCTGAAAGAATTTAGAAATTCAAAGGAGGAGGAGAAGAAGAAGAAGAAAGAAAGAAGAGGGTAAAGGCAAAGCATAGTAGTAGGGGGAGGGAAGGGGGAGAAAGAAAAGTAGTTAAAGTTAAGCCACTGGAAATTCCAGGTTTCCCGGTAAACCTGAGACGGAGAGTGTGTCACATGGGGTTCTGACACGTGGCTTGACTTTAAGATCTTCTTGTTCCACTACCCATCATGGATCTCTTTCCCCCTGTCTTTGCTTGTGCTTATGGTTGGATTTTACAGTTTATTTAGTTGATCTCGTAATTGTTTCTCTCTTAATTCTACTTATATAATTCTATATAACAATGTTGTATAAATATAAATATGTGTTGCATTATTTTATGTCAAGAGATTTTGAGGGTTGTTATTAAGATCTTTGCGAATTTTTAATAACTTATGAGGAGATTATTATCTACATATTTTCACAGTTTTTGCCTCATTTATTTCTATATTAAACTATTTTTAAATACTTTTAAGATTAACGTAGTAGGACATGCATTATGCAGAAAATTTGAAAGTTTGATGGAAAATTTAACAATTAGTGGCCTGAATATTGGTTGATCATATTCCTCCCAATCTAACCTTCATGATATCATAGAATATTTGTTGACATGTGTTACACATGTTGATAATGATTGGTCATAATATGCCTAGGTATAGTCTATAGATGCTCGGTCAAAAAGAAATATAAATTTATTTACAGATTTGGTGAAGAACTGAGACCTTTCGGTGGCATGAAAGAATTTAGCTTGTTATACTATAAACATGATAAAAAGATAACACAAAGTTTGTCTCAATTAAAGTGTTAAGCTAGCTATATGCTTTATGGATGATTCATAGAAGCACTAAAACTGTATATTGTTTGATATAAGATTATAATCAATGGGTTAAAGAGGTACTGTAGAACAGTGAGAACCCATCTGCCAATATAACTATTATTATAATCAGAAAATGGGATTCAAGAGAAAAGCTTTCATTCACATAGAATTATAAGTATAATCCTTCTTAAACATCTATTGTGAAAAGCAAAAATAATCTGTGATCAATGAAGAATATCTACACCTGTATTTGGATAATTTACCTCCGATTCCTAAGAGACTTACCTTTCAAGGCAAGTTAAGCCTGCGAGACAAATTGCTGCATTTCAACTTTTGATAACCCTCATTGTTCTTCATAAAGTTGTGCCATTTCTTGTCATTTCGTCTGAAGTTGCTCAACTATATTTTTATATCTCTATTAATAACATTAGAGATTTGCTGATGATTTCTGCAATCTGTATTTGGTTGTTTTCACCGTGACTAGAATTTTGCTGTTGGGTTTAATAGTTTTATACACTTCGTTTTCATCTGGGATTACTTCAAACGTTGTTACAATGCCCCCTGTTGTAAACATTGGGGCTATTTTCCCTTTCAATTCTACCATCGGCAAAGTTGCAGTAGACGCCTTAGTGGAAGTGTGAATTCTCAGTTTCTGACCCAAGCTAATAAGCTCAAGCTAATAATGGAGGATGCAAATTACAAACGGATTTCTGGTCATGGTTCAGGGTGAATCCTTACAACGTTTAGATAAGTTATTTGAATCACATTCATGCCATAGTTTCTCATTTTTTAAATTTTGAATCATTGTCTACAGCTTTAGTGGTGTTGGAGAAGAAGATTGTGGCTGTAATAGGCCCCCAATTTTCAGTCACAGCCCATTTAGTTTCCCACTTTGCAAATGAGCTTCAAGTCCCTTTAGCAACAGATCCAACGCTAACTCCCACTTCAGTGTCCATTCTTTGATACCACAACACTATTGTGAACTACTATGGATGGAGAGATGTAATAGCTGTGTATATTGATGATGATCATGGAAGAAATTAATACCTTTGCTGAACTCGGAGATAAGCAACAGTATTTGAATTTTATCATGCACTTCTAAAGGCAACAAAGAATTAGTATCTAAGACACTAGACATTAAGGAAAGACACTCCGGATTGTGAACAGAAAAGGGATTTTGTGACTAAATGGAAGAACAACTTGAAAGTTAATGGCCAACTTGACAGTTAATGTCTTCCTCTCAACTCACTGCCAATTCAGTATCATAGGTCAAGAGTTCAGCAGAACGGGGTGGGGATTTGTAAGTATTTCTTCTTCAATTGAACTTAATTTTGTATCATTTGGATTCTATACTTCAAATGATTATAATTTCTTGATTCTCTACCAGGCCTTTCCAAGGGACTCACCGCTGGCAGTTGACTTGTCAACTTCCATTCTACATCTAGCCGAGAATGGAGATGCTCAGAGAATTCATGACAAATGGTTTTCGAAAAGTGCTTGCAGTTCACAAGGCACAAAAGAAGTAGAACAGCTTCATCTCAGAAGCTTTTGGGGTCTATTTGTTATGTGTGGTTCTGTTTGCTTGATTGCTGTCATTTTATATTTCATAAATTTAGTCCACCAGTTTGCCAGACATCACTCTAACCTGGATAAGGTTGAGTCTGCAGATGGAAAATCACAATTCACATGTCTTCGAACATTTCTTTTATTTGTTTTTGAAAAGGCATAAGCCACTCCCAACCCAACTCCAGGAGAAGAAAATTGAAAATGGCTTCATTATAATCACCGAAGAACCTATTTTTTCTGGGAACATATTTTTGGTTGTGGTCAAGGATATAAGACGAAATTCTTGTTAAATTGTTCTATTTCAGATATTTTTCTGGTGATTTGGCCTGAAAGTAACAAAAGGGTAGTTTAAGATAGATGCAAAGAAGACATAATTATTCTGTAGAACAGAATTTTGTTCGCTTACTTCTTTTCGGGCATTAGTCTCTAAAGTTTTTCAGGATACTTCTTTTTCTTTTATACACTTAGATCGGGAACCGGTTTTGGGTTAAATTCATACTATTGGCACTGATGTTCGAGATACCAATCCAATAGACTGTTCATTCACTTTTTTGTAATTATTTCAATCATGTTTTCACTTAAACAAAAAAGTGTTTTTATCAGCTGGCTATCATGACAGACTACAAAACGTTGGAGGTTTTGTCAATGTCCAGTGGCAGACCCACCCTGCAATAGGATCACTGACTTTTCTCTAGATGTTAAAGGAGGTCACTCTTGGCAAAAGCATTAATTGGATATTGAAAAGCCCTGAATATCTCTTTGTCGAAATTGTTGAAGTGTGTCTCAAGATGCTGCAGAGGGTTGCTAACTTGGTGACTAGATTGATGAGGTGGAAGCTGGAGAATAGGTGTTTTAGTTGCTGTTGAATAAGTCAAGTTTTGAAGCTGTCAAACTAGTTGTTGCTAGAAATTAGGCATTAAGTTTGTTAGCTGCTCTTCATGTAAACGTGCAGCATTTGTGTAGGCTTTTTTCATGTTTTTTCTGTTGCATTTACTTGTATAAATTACACTTTTCATTCAATGAAAGAAATACAAAAATAGCAGTCTATTTTCCTCCTATTTTTGCTATCATTCTGCCAGTGCTCTTGTGTAAATCAACAACATATTGGTATCAGAGCTGATTTCTTAAGGGATCTGTGAGAGTTTGTCTTGTGAGTTGACCTTAAACACAAACCAAAACAACTCATCATGGCCGCAGAAGCTTATTCTTCAACAGTACCACCTCTCTTTTCTAGAGAAAATTATGAGACTTGGGCTGTCAAGATGACAACTCATCTGCAAGCTCATGATCTATGGGAGGCAGTGGAAGAAGACTACGAGATTGCACCATTGCCAAACAATCCTACAATGGCTCAATTGAGGAATCATAAGGAGAGGAAGATAGGGAAGTACAAGGCAAAGGCTTGCTTATATGCTGCTGTGTCAGATGCATTATTCACCAGAATTATCAAGTTAGAGTTAGCAAAAGATATCTGGGACTTCTTCAAAGAAGAATATAAAGGGAATGAAAGGACCAGAAACATGCAGGTGCTGAATCTGAGGAGGGAATTTGAGATGCAGAGAATGAAAGAATCAGAGACAATCAAGGAGTACTCTGACAGGCTTCTCAGCATTGTCAACAAAGTAAGAATTCTTGGTGAAGAAATGTCTGATGGCAGAATCGTAGAAAAGATTTTGGTGACTCTTCCTAAAAGGTTTGAATCCAAAATATCTACTCTAGAAGAGTCTAAGGATCTGTCAAGTATTTCCTTGGCAGAATTATTGAATGCATTGCAGGCACAAGAGCAATGGAGGTTGATCAGAGAAGAGGGATCTGTGGAAGGTGCTTTACAAGCTAAGTTGCAGATTCAAGATGATGGCAAAGGAAAGAAAAAGAAGGGAAGAAAATACAATGCCAACAAAGGAGATGCTGGAACAAATAGCAATGGAGGAAAACATCTTCCATGTCAGCATTGTGGCAGAACTAATCATCCTCAATATAAGTGTTGGAGGAGGCTTGATGTGAGGTGTAGAAAGTGCAATCAGATTGGCCATATGGAAAAGATTTGCAAGAACGAAGGCAATCAACATAAGAATGAGGCTCAGGTTGCTGACCAACAGGTGGAGGAGCAATTGTTTGTTGCTACTTGTTTTGCAAGCAGTAGCTCGAGTGATTGTTGGTTGATAGATAGTGGTTGTACAAACCACATGACAAATGATGAGGAGCTCTTTAGAGAGCTTGATAAATTTGCAATTTCCAAAGTGAGAATTGGAAATGGTGAACACATTGCTGTTAAGGGCAGAGGGATTGTGGCCATTGAAAGCTTGTCAGGTACTAAACTCATTACCGATGTTCTTTATGTGCCTGATATTGACCAAAATTTGTTAAGTGTTGGTCAGTTGTTGGAAAAGATTTTTAGAGTGCTCTTTGAGGATAAAAAATGCAGGATCAAAGAAGCAAATGGCCAGGAGGTGTTCACAGTCAAAATGAGAGGCAAAAGCTTCTCTCTAGATCTAATGAAGAAGGAGCAGTCAGCTTTTCCAAGTTTTATGAGCAATGTAGAGATATGGCACAAAAGGCTAGGTCATTTTCATCATAGAGCACTTTTGTTCATGTAAAGGAATGAGTTGGCATAAGGCTTACCAACTTTGGAGGAGGACTTACGTGATTGCAAGGCCTACCAATATGGCAAGCAAGTCAGGCTGCCATTTTCGAAGACTACTTGGAGAGCATCACAAAAGCTTCAGCTCATTCACACTGATCTTGGAGGACCTCAGAAAACACCATCATTGAAGGGAAGTAAATATTATATAACATTTATTGATGATTTAACTAGAATGTGCTAGATTTACTTTCTAAGGTTCAAATCTGAGGTTGCTGTTGTGTTCTGGAAATTCAAGGCATGGATTGAAAATC